TCAAGGTCAGCGAAGGAGTCCTCAGATGGCCCTGGGCTGCATGCAGTGTTTCTAAGCAGCAGACCCTGTGCTCCATGCAGCAGTGCCGCTTCAAAACGCCATGTGCAGCTCAGCCCAGCTGGGGACCCTGGGCTGCACACAGCATTTCAAAGTGATAGTGCTACACGGAGCCCAAGGTCTGGCACTGGGTTCCATGGAGCGCTGCCGCTTTGAAGCACCACCTCTTCTTCCCCCCTTACTACTTCGGATAGCAGGGGGAAGGGAGGAAGAGGGGGAAGCGACTAGACAAATAGCATGTTGACTATCCGATAAGCATTTGCTTATCAGATAATTGACTAGTTGTTCACATCACTGGGGTATACATTATAAATGTTAAGCTGACATAAGTTGGTTTATTCATTATGCATCCAATACAACCAAACTGGTCTCCCACCAACGTAAGCGATCTGTTACAGTGGATGCAGTAAAACCATTTCCTCAATGGCATGGAGTCATGATCAACCTACTCAGGTCAATACAGTGTAAGCGCAGACACTGTGTGACATGTAGTGATCCTAGCAGTTCTCCAATTGCTGACCCATTATGCCCTGAAACGACTGTTCAACTCACAATGATAAACATGACTGCCTAGGGGTCAGAAGCCAGAAACCCGCTTTAAAACTCCACACGTGTATTAGGAATGCCTTTTCTGATAGGCCACTTTGGCGAGCACACCTTGCAGATCTCCCTTTTCGTGTGCAACTGCCCAGCCAACCATGCCAACTACACACACTGTACACATTCCTGCCTGGAGTAACAAGAATACTAGATCTCCTAACAATGCGAGGAGAAACAGATTCTCTAGGGGATGCAGAAAAAGGGTTACAAAAAGGATCAGCAACAGTGCTACAGTAAAGCAAAGGTCTATGCCAGGTGTACAGAAAGTGGGAAGTGCAACAACCTATCTTGTGTTTAGCTGAAGACCCAGGACGAGTCTGAGACTCCACCATAGTCTAGCCCAGTGGTCCCCAACATTGCGTGGCTGCCGGGCGCCCGGGGGCGGGGCCACGCACGAGC